GAGGGTGTCGAGCAGGAATACGGGGGCAGCAGGTGACCACAGATCCAGACTCCACAGCTCCAGAGCCAGAAAACCTGCAGGAGGTGATAGGAGGAGAGAGGAGAGGGACGAGAAAGCACAAGACTACCGGAACATGCAATAATGGGATGAAGTTGCATACAGAGGGAGAGAAAGTAGAGGAGAGAGGAGCTCAGTGCATCATAGGACATCCCCCGGCAGTCTAGGCCTATAGCAGCATAACTAAGGGATGGTTCAGGACTCACCTGAGCCAGCCCTAACTATAAGCTTTATCAAAGAGGAAAGTCTTAAGCCTACTCTTAAATGTGGAGATGGTGTCTGCCTCCTGAACCCAAACTGGAACCTGGTTCCACAGGAGAGGAGCTTGATAGCTGATATATTCCTTTAAAATAATTTACAAATATTTGTTAAAATACTCTTAAATAATTAAAACCACTAAATAAACCAAATTGATCTTCAATGCATTTTTCATCACATAAATACATACTGTCTGACCATAATGTAAATTAGATATGTTTCTTCACAAGTCTTTAAATGTCTTAACAAACATTTGCATATCAGAGAGCTCATTTCCCCCCTCATTATATTAATAGCGAGCACTTGACATACAATTGATAAAATAATATAAAATAATTTAAAATGCTAATTAATTAAGAAATTAGTTAATTAGAAAGACTTAAATATGTAATCACTGAATAAAAAAGTAACAGTAACACTTGCTGGAGACTTTTCTTGCTGGAGACTTAGGCTACACCTAACTATTCAGAGGCATCGCACAAAAATCTGGGCCCTATACATTAGCATCCTCTAAGGGCCTCTCCCAGCATCCACGGCTATTTGTTCTAGGATCTTTGTGGGCCCTTCTCACATGAGGGCCCTGTTTACTCAATCCCATTGTCCGTCCCCAGTCCAACAACCCTGTAACTAATAAAACATGATGAGCAAAACAAACAGTCTTGGAGTCTTTTTCTGGTATAGACATCTAGAAATAGTTAAAGGAGACCTATTATGAGTTTTTGCAACCAGCAGCACCAGACGTGACCATATTTGGACGAGACAGTGGAGCAAACGGCCGTGTGTGGAGCTAGCTAGCTTGCTTAGCTAGGTGCATCTGTAACTCACGTTAACTGTCATTTTAACAGGGCAGATAACTTTGTCTAGAGGACAACAGTCTTAAACTAAATGTACTCATCGGAGAAAGTGAACAGCCAACTCCTAATAAGCTTTTCAACGGCGCTGGTTAAATTTACACAGAGCCGTGGGTACGAGTCACTCTAGCCTGATTGAGGGGTCGCCATGGTAACGACTTGTCCAGCAACAACAACAACCTGGTAACATGCTTCAGGTCTTGGCCAATCAGAAGACAGTGGGCTTTGAGAGGAGCATGTTGAGAGAGCAGCTTGTTTCAGACAGAGGCTGAAATGAAGGCCTACATAAAGAGTCAGTATAAGAAAACAACTTTGAATCATGCAAAGCTGCTATACAGGCATCACAGAACTTCAATATAGGACTGGAAAAGCAGAATAATAGGTCTCCTTTAACTTACCTCTGGTAGACGCATCTAGAGCTTATAGCTAAAAACATACTAGTTTGGTAGGTTGCTGCTATGGGTGTGTCTGGATCGGTGAGAGAGAGACACATTGGAAAGTGCTTTGGATTTAAGCACTACTCTGCGGTTCATTTAGGTGTGTCCTATACATTACTATTAAAGGGTTTGCCAATCGACCCGTGGGAAGTTTACCTGAGGCCTCTCCAATCCCGCCAAACGTGTGGGAAGTTTACGTGTAGGAAGTTTACCTGAGGCCTCGCCAACCCCGGCAGACGCGTGTGAGGGTGATTAGGGCTATTAGTCCTAACCAGAGTTGCTGTTATCAAGTCACCTTGGGTAGGCCTACTCATGTGGACCTGAGCTCAGTGTCCCCCTCTGGGCTTCAAAATCATTTTGATGGTACACTGACTTGTAGTAGGGAGAATGGCGTCTCTGTCCTTGCCACTCTGGGCCCAGAGCGACTGGTATTGGCAACATTCACCATCGCATGGACTCTTTCAAATCACTTATCAAAACCCACCTTTAGACTAGCTTTTAACCTCAAATAATGCTTTATTGCACCTGCTGCTGTTTGTTATTTATATGGTCGTCGCTATGCCCATATGTTTTTACCTACTGTTCGTATATTTTGCTATTTATGTTTTTATCTGTTTTATAAATGTACAGAACTTCTGGTTTTACTGTAAAGTGTCTTGAAAAGCACTATAGAAATAAAATGTATTATTATTATTATTGTTATTATTATTATTACAGACAGGACATCTATCGAGAGAATGATGCAATGCTTTGCGGCACTACATCTCACACAAACACATCTTCAGCAAGCTATAAGAAGAAGCAATAAGTATAATGTACATATAAGCTCTTTGGAAGAAGCTAGCTCGGTATTCTCAGTATGGATATCATGGCAGAGGCTGCAAAAAGAACGAAGAGGACGTTGTTGAGGAAGCGTGGAAGAGAAAAAGAGAGGGTAAAAGACTGAAAACAGGTTTAGCTGCAAGCTATAAATAAATATAAATAAAGTAGATGTTAGCAAACTTAGATCACACACTTGGACACTGATGACATTAGCTACTGTAAGTGCTCTCATGTCATTTGCTGTCCAGCTTTGTTGGCTAGCTTGCAACCCAAGTTTCAAGCAACAGCAGAAGCGAATAGACAGAAAAGGACGTTGACGGAAGAAACTAAGAACAGAAAAAGAGAGTGACCAAGCTAGAGGCTCCCAGAAGTTGGCAAGAGCTCCATGAAATAAAAGACTGCAAGACAGGATACGAGCTGGCCTTTCTGTTTGACTAGTTTGTAATATTGCTATGTCTTGTGTTGTCGCACTTGCTGGATGTTTGGCTGTGGTAGCAAAGTTGTTGACTTGCTAGCTTTTTAATGTAATGTAATCATTACAAATGCATGTGTACAGCTCTCCTTATGACAACAGTGAATTACACTCTTGGTACGGGCGCCAAACCGCACAAAAACAAAAACAAATTGTTGCTTAAATGACTTTTTCACGGCCCTAAGCTATTGGAGAATGTAATAGTAATGAATGGCACAACAACTTGGTCGGACTCTATGGCTCTACTTTTTTTTGAGATGTTGAGAATTATTTAGTGGCATGCCATACAAAACCTGAAAGATCTGAAACATGTCCTTATGTGCTCCATTCCCCTGGTGATTAAGGGAGGAAAATAAATTAAAGAACAGCATATGGGAGTGCAGACGTTTATATTCTTTCTCCTGTTTTAGGTTATATTGTGCCCACAGGCCGTAACTGATGTATTCGCAGAATCCCTGGAGAACCACCCATTCCAATAAAGACAAGAATAATTGCAGCACTGAACCCAACAATGTGGAACTATCTATTTACAATTAAATGCTTAAATACATCTAGGTTGACAAATGTAGACAGACAGGGCTCAACAGTGGCTTTACTTTTTAAGGACACCAAGCTGCTTGTGCTCTACTACTGCTCTATAGAGTATACTGACAAATGTTATTATCGTATGGTATGCCAACTGTTCAGCAGCATACAGAAGCTCACAGTCTGTTCAGAGAGACACATTTCCAACAAACATTTCCTGTACAGTTGGTACACAATGCACCACTAACACAGCTGTAAATTGCTGTCAAGTCATTTACTGTGTAAAGTTTCAACAAGGCACTCATTTGTTCTGCAACTTTTTGTAGATTAATTTATACACTTGTACCCATCAAAGGGTACCTCCCATCGAGGATAAAAATCTGGATACTGATACAATTTGGCACAGTCACTCCAAAGAAGAAAAATGGTCTGACTTCCTACTGTATGTGCCCAAGGCTTCTGCTCCCTCCCCTCACTACAGGGGAGTACAAACATTGACCTTAAATAGGCTAGCTGGTTTAGAGAGGAAACCCAGAAAGCACAGGAATCAGGAATCTGCAGACTCATTTGCACAAATAGATGCTGATGTGAGACTATAACTCAACCCAATCAGGTTCAGTGAGGGGGAAGAAAACTTCACGGTTGTATTTGCCCAGATGGGAAGACTGTGTCTTCTTTGGCAGAGGATGATAAGACGGTGGGCAGCAAAAACACAGGCTGCAACAAAACTAACCCTTTCACATCTAATTTGGTCTGAGCAATCACGGTCGCTACAGACAGCCAGACACCTGCATGGTTTCGACGTGGTGCATTCGTGCCTGAACAGCTCTTATACTAGCCTTCAAAAACCAAGAGCTGAAGCCACCCTGCCTACTAATACATACCATATGCCAGTGTGTTCTCTGCTCAGCACTCAGTCTCAGGCGGCTCAAATTCAATTCTAGACAACAAAACTGACACCTCTGCTTTGTCGTGCTGCCTCTGCCGTGGGTATAACAACTGTTTCAGGGATTTATTCCATATTCTCTGAGAACAGCCTGGAACTAATCTTTGAGTGTATTTACTTCTCTGCTCCACCAGGTGGAGCCAGAATAAACCATCAGGGCCTTGATAATGTTACTCAGTCTCCTCAAGCGCTGTCACGTCATCTCAGAAGTCCCTTTTAAGCATGGGATCTGTAACACTGATGGCCTTTACCACTTAAATAGGCTAATTTGCAGTATTTCACAGTTCATTAAACAGGTTTTATTTCTTTGTGCATTAGATATGCTATGTTATACTGCAGGGCTGTGTTAAGAGGGGTGAACAGGATGTGCACATAACAGCTCTAATAATAGTAATCCACTGTACGTGCGGTTTGGTGTTTAGAACCATAAAACTATGGCTTCAATGTGCAGGAACAATCCAAGTTCATCAAATGTTATCATTAAGCAATTCCCTTAGAAACATTCATAAAAGCTTATATAACTGTTCAGGTCATACTCATTCCTGAATACAGTCTGTTGGGACCAGCATCTGGAAAAAAAATCATTTTTATTGACATTATAAGGCTTTGCAGGCTCAGTGTCAGATAAAGTATACTGTACAATCCGCTGCTGCTCTTTACTACTTGTATAGAACAATGTCGAATGATCAGATTTCATTACACATGAAGTGACACATGAACATCCAACTTTTCCTTAAAAAAAACAGAGGCACGGGTCATATACTGAGCTCAGCTGCTTAAAGTGATTTGTTTCCAGAGGGTCACAAACCTACAGAGGCAAATATATCATCTATGTCATCGTGGATGTTACAGTCAGTGGTCTGAGATGTCGCCTTGTACGTAGTCCAGTTTCTTTGGCCGTCCCCCGACAGTCCAGACACCGATGACGCAGCCCTTTTCCTTTGCCTTTCAGCCGTTTCTTTTTGACACCAGTTCGTGCTGCTGAAGACTTAAAGCGACTCCTGAGTGACTGAAAACGAGTTCTCCGGTGAGCATGTCTCCTCCTAGGAGAACGACAGGTTCTTGGCACTGACCCTCGAGGAAATAAAGCCCAGCAAGCTTCCCGTCTGAAGGTCCGCAACTTCCTCTGGACACTGGGGATGAAGTCAAATTATATAAACATTAGCAGTAGAAGAAACTGTGTCAGAAAATACTAATGAGTGTAGTTTTACATCAGCAATGCCAATAGTGGCCACTTTATTAGCTGTGCCTGTATAGCTAGTTCATGGCTAGTGCTGGACTGCACTACATCCAGAGGAGTCTGAGATATTCTCCCCCCCCTCACGGGAGGACAAAAAATTTGAAACACCTCTCAACATAATGTAGTCAAATACAACACCACATTTAACTAAGACCTCAGTCATAAACATAACTTTACGCATTTCAGACAATGTCACCAAAAACTGAACATTATCAACTCTGTAAAATGTAGGATTTATGGCAGAGCTGTTGTATTGACTTGCATTGGATTGCACAGCTGTACCTAACAAAGTGGCCACTGAGTTTATATTCTGCAGCGTTGCTCTTACTTGTAACCTGCTGCCTCTAGGCATTTCATCCGTTGGCACTTTAAACGCAGGAAGGCTAAGAGGCGTTTTTTCCGTTTCCCTCTTCTGGGCTTTGCACCATAGGATCATTTCTTCTAGACGCGACGCCATGTCTGTGAAAGTCAGCCTCTTTCACTTGCTTCTTGAACTTTTGCTCCGTTAGCCTTGTGCGCTTCCCGTGGGAGG